TGCTGCCACTAGCTAGTTAGCGGTTCTGTTAGCGGACTGTACCCATACTGTGAGCTCGAAGTACTAGGCCAAGTTTGTTTACCCCACTAGCATAAGAGCTGGGCACAAATGACCATCAGAGTGGGGGTGATTGGGCAACGGAGCCGGGCTCAGCAGCCTCCCAGTAATTCCAGCCGAGACTAAACACAGGCGATATACAGCTGCTTCGACCAGGATTATGACTCCAGTGACTATGAAGACACACGTTTTATTTCAACTAGTCGACTAACGGCTTAAATTAACTAATGTTAGTACATTCCCTTATAATATATTGTGGCTTCCACATCTTACTTGTTGGCACACACTTAGTCATACAAGCAAATGAAGTTAGACGGTGAGTGAAGTTGTGTCTACAACTGGTTACGTTCGCCCCAATGTGAATACAAAGTTGCTGTGCTCATGGTGTTGCTGTTGCCAACAGTGGAGCTGCTGAAATCTGCCCTTAAATGTCCAAAGCCTTTATATACTGTCAACGGTCTAAACTCATAAATGCACTCCTGTTTTTCCAATGTAAAGCAGAAAACAGATCAGCTGCAGAAACAATACATGCAAGAAAAAAAGAGTGAGAATCAACATCAGACCTTGCAGATTGCCCCTTTCTTTTGCTTTTTACATCCCTTAAATCCTGTCTGAAATTTTTCACACATATTAACAAACTTGTTCAGTCATGCTTTCTCCCGTTAAGAAATAATTCTAGGATGAGACATATTCCCTCCGTTAAAGTGCTGAGAAAATAATCCATGCTTTTGTGCCTTCACGCTTAGATTACTGTAATTCTCTATATGCTTGCCTCAGCCAAGGAGCTGCAGCTCTGGTCAAAACACTGCAGCTCATCTCCTAACAAAGAGAAAGCACAGGGAGCACATAACTCTAATGTTGGCCCACCTCCATTACCTACCAGTGGAGTTTAAAATTAAATACAAAACTGGCAATTACCTATCAAGTAATACTACAGGGTGAAGCACCTGAGTACATTTCTGAACTGTTTGAGCTTGTGTTCAAATGTTGCAACTTTTAAGACTGCCTGTACTTCACCAGTTTACCACTCATATGAGAGCATCCAAATTAATTTCTATTTCTTCTTTTCAGATGATGCATTTCCTGTCTTGTTTATTATTCCTGCAATTAATCTATTTTTTCTATTCTTTTGTATTTGTTACAACTGCCACCCTCACTAGAAGAAGCACTGTACAATTTGTTTGAAAAGGTACCATAGAAATTAATAGTAATTACTCTTACCTACTCAGAATAAATAGCACATTCATTTTCTAATGCATATATAGAAGTCAAAGAATCATGCATCTGAGACAAAAGTAAACAAATCATACTCAGAT